CAGGGATATTAGCAGTTTCCCTTATGAGTCCATACATATACAAGTATATGGCAATATAGACAAATATAAAATGAGTTTAATATTAGTGACCAAAAGCCGAGAGCACCCATTTTTGTACTTTTGTCAATTCCGGTAAACTTGTTTTAGAATTCGTTTTCTGCCCAAACTCTGGTTAATACCAGGCAGAGAAGGAGAATGATTTTTTTGCAAGTTAAGTAAAATTCTCACTTCTCATGCTTTCTAGCAAGGCTTCTGCCCCTAACCAGTATTTCTAGGCATAGCTCTCTTTAGATGAAGTTTAACTTAGATCAACAAATTAACTTAACTAATAAACAGAACCCCAATTTTAATTTAGGAACCTTTTACTGTCTATTTTCTTCTGTGGAAATTTATTTCTGCCAATAGATATCATACAGCTCTCTGTTGCTTTCGGAGACACATACCCACATCAACAGTAGATAGATGTGAAATGTTTAATTCATTTTCACATTTTCTCTCCCTCTGTAATACTTTCTTAACTTTCTTATATTCTCTCATCCACTCTGCCTTTTCCTTTTCCTTGGCTCCCTACTGCTTCCTTCTGTTTCCACTCACAACTCCCTCCTCTTGTCCAACTCCTTGTGCATGAAGCACAAATATTTAGAGATATAATATTCAGTGATTTTTAAATGTTAATAACATGAGTGTTAAACATCTGATGATTTACTGTTAAAGAAATGCTTTACTGAATGACATTACCCTAATGTTCATGTTCCTTTAGTCCTAACTTCTTACCCCTACCACAAACATCTGCAGTGTCAAGGTTGTTCTGAAAGTGATAAGCCAGCCATAAAATAAGTTTATGGTATTTTCCTACCTTCAAAGTTACAGGAAGCTCAAATGTACTCTGTAAATATTGCAAAATTACCCAGGACCATTAACTGTAACACTCTACTCTTTCTTTCAAGTTCTCTCTCTGTCTTTCTTTCAATATAATAACATCCTGTATTTTTGTCCTGTTATATGTTCAATTCAGAGTTATCCGTGTTCTATTAGCAAATCTTCCTTAACAACTTCTGGGTTTTTTGGTCTGGTTGAATAATGTTAGCTAGTAAACTTTAACTGATTTTTAAATATGTAAATTGATAAACATGTAAAAAGGACACAAATCCCATTGGGTATGTTATATGCTCCTTAATAATAAATGAATTTTTATTACATACATTAAAATAATACTTTGGGGCTGGTGAGGTGGCTCAGTGGTAGAGCGCTTGCCTTGTGCATGAGGCCCTGGGTTCGATTCCTCAGCACCACATAAGAAGCAAAAGCTGGAAGTGGTGCTGTGGCTCAAGTGGCAGAGTGCTAGCCTTGAGCTGAGGGACAGCGCCAAGGTCCAGCGTTCAGGCCCACGACCAAAACAACACATAAAATAAAATAAATATATAAAAACTTTGACTCTCTCTACTAGTCTTTATCTGAGTATTTTCAAGTGTTTTACTATCTTGAACAAACCCAGGGTGTTGTGTGCACAGAATCCTTTGAAATTGCCCTTTGCCTTTTAACTTAGCGTATTGTAAAAAAAGTCAGACCAAAAGAGTAAGTATTCTGATGAGCAGCTCAAACACTGGACGACACTGACATCAAGGACTAATATGCATATTCTTGGGCATTGGCCAACTTTTTCTGAGTAAGCATAGGAGCAGCATATTTTGATAAGATCTCAACTCATGCTAGTAATTGGCTTAGGGATCACATCTAAGAGCTAATGATTCAAATATTTGATTTTTTAATCTTATGCTGAGCAGATGAGTAAAAACTGAAATGGTAGTGGAGAATAATTTGAAAGAAAAAAATTTAAGGTCTCATTCAATGAGAAAAATAATTGATCACAATAGTTTATAAATGACTACATTTTTTTGTTTCATTAAAAAAAACCCGGCAGTTAATTTTTTTATGAGGTCAAATCATACCTAGTACCTTAAATCCAATGGATGCAAGTTTCCCTCCATCTTTTGTGTAGATTACTTCAAAAAGAATGCTGGGGAATTTATAGTGTGATTAAAGAGAAACAACATATATCCCCAGGTATAAGGTTTCTGTGAGCAGTGCATGCTCTTATGGGCTTTACAAAAACTTGTGTTAGCACAAAGCATTATATCTTTCTTTAGATTGTAACTTTCACATAAGGGACAATCTATTGTGATGTCAGAAAACCAACACCCTCAAAGACAAATATATTACCAGAGTTGAGTGCCCGTAAGAGTCGGCAAAGATAAATGTTTAACAGTGTTTAAACAGAGTGTTTATGTTAAATCAAATAGAGAAAGCCAAACACTAATGAAGAAATCTGCAAATGAACAATAAACTAGGTAATCAGAACAGGTACTTGCATTAATAGCAGGATATTGGTATTACTAGTGTATTTGTTTTACAAATAATGTGAACAATCCAAATTTACCTCCAGGTTTCACCACTGTTTGGTGGCATTTCTGTAACAGCAGCTTCCCGTTATGATCTTTTTAGTGCTTATTAAAGTTATCCAAGTGTATACCTACCTCTCACTTCACAAGTATGATAGTTCAGAAAAGAGGCCAGAAACCGTACCTCAGAATATTAAAACTTTTCAGATACAGGAATCCTTTATTTTTGTATTTAGGAAAGATACTAATATCTCTCCTAGACAGAAATTTTCGCATGGAAACATCCCTGTTTTATTAAACTGCATTGTTAGGGGCCTTGACAAAGTTTTTTGGGATTTTTTTTCCCTTCATCCTTCTCAGCATCATTCTGATACAAAACTGTAAGCTTCTGTATATAGATGAAATATATATATATATATATATGTATATACTTTCCCTCATTTAAATTAATTTGTACATGTATATACATAAGATTGTTAATGATCAGTACTTATATAGTTTTAAATGTTGCATACATGTCATAATTTGGGCATATAATTGTTTTTATTAGCATATACTAATTGTACAAAATAATGGATTTCATTATGACATTTCTATCCATGTAGATAATGTATCTTGATTATAATTAGCTGAATATGTTTGTTTTTACTGTTAAAACATAGTCTAGTGGCAATTTCAAGCCAACTATTATGTGGTCATCCTAAAAGCAAAGCAACCTTCTATCTCACCCACAATTATTTTATAATAATGTTTTAAGAGGAACAATAAAATATAGCACAGAGTGAAATAAAACAAAACAAAAACTGAATGGCCAACTTAGCAGTTGATAGTATTTGCAAGATGAGCAAAGAATTCAAGATTCTGTCTGAGACATCATATCTACTTTGACTTCATCTTTTAGAATCAGTTTTCTGGGGCTGGAAAGGTGGCTCAGTGGTAGAGTGCTTGTCTTGCATGCATGAGGTCCTGGGTTTGATTCCTCAGCTACACACATAAGCAGAAAAAGCTGGAAGTGGCACTGTGGCACAAGTGGTAAAGCACTGTCCTTGAGCTGAAGAGCTGAAGGACAGTGCCCAGGCCCAGAGTTCAGACAAAAAAAAAGTAAGAGTCACTTCCTAAAACTTGACTTTTAGTTTAATAGCACATGGCTACATGCATGGCAGTTCCAATAGCAGTACATCTGTCAAGATCATGAAGACCTGGGCATTTGATTCTAAGTGCAGTGTTTATCTATACATGATCCCTTGTATATTCTCTGTAATAAAGGCTATGCCATTAGCCCTTAAGAATCTGTATTTTCTCTAATGAGAAAATGGGGGCACATAACCCCATTGAGTAAACATTCTACTCAAGACCAAATGGAAAGGAATACAATGTTCAGATCACTGGGAAATCTTCATTAGAAAATTCTAGGAATCAGTAGTGCCTGAGAGTACATTATGGACTAGTATTATTCTATCAAGTATTAGGTCACTTCAAGTATTTACAACTGTCAAAGGAAAATACTACTGTATTGTCCTCTGGCAGAGTCTGTCCCAAAGCTACTTGTTAGTGGTTAGTAGAGACAAAGCTTCAAACAGGCTATCTTCCTCCTCCCCGCCCCCCCCGCCCCGTTATTGTTAAACTATTTGTTCTCTCTCTTTCTCTCTCACTCACAAATTAAACACATTTTATTAGTTCACAAAAACAGAAACAAAATATGGACCTTTAAACGCTATAGTTTTTATTTTAAAATAAATTAATTTTGCTACTATCACAAGTATTAAAAGAATGGTACACAAAGCAAACCACCGCATAATTAATTCTTTTGCTAAGACAAAAGTTCAACACTTTAAACATTCAGAATCTTAAAATATATACTATAAATTAAATAAAGAGCATATCTAGTGTTATACAGCAAGTGAAATATTTCCAATATACCACAAGAAAGTAAAATGATTTTTAAAAAAATTATTATTTCTGATACCGACTAAAAATAGTATTAGTATAGTAACAACATGGCTTGTCCTTTAGTAGTGATTGTCAGTGCTTAGAAAGATTGAGCCATATATGTTTCCTACTTTGCTCAAGTTTTGTTTTGAATTTAAAATATTCTATTTGAATTGTTAAAATTTATTTAATTTCCTGTTATTTTGTGAATTTTCATGACATGAGATTTAAAAATAGATATCAAGGCTTCTCAAGACTAAACATACTTTTATCCTTTATTAAGAAAATAATATAGTGAAATTTCATTTCAATTGTCCTTGAAAGAGTAAATTGGAGGTAAGTGAACTTTGGCATAGTCATAGTGATTGGGGTTGTATAAGGGATCTATGGCTAATCTACATATATATTATTATACCCACAAATATGTCTATTTTACTTTTCTATTCAATTGTTATTAATGACCATGAACAACATTATAAAATGAGAATGAAATTTTACTTCTTAGAGCAATCTCTACTAAGCAATCTTTATTAAAAACTTTAGATGAAGTATTTAAAATTTCAGCTGTGGATAAAGCAATGATACCCAGTTGCATTTGAAGGAAGATGCATTTTATAATTTTAGAGTCAATGAACCATGAATGCCACTTTAACTTTTTGATTTTGGTAATAGGATATCTCCAAGTTTGCAGAGAAAGACAACATAGTTCTTGGAGAAGGTGGAATCACACTGAGTGGAGGTCAACGTGCAAGAATTTCTTTAGCAAGGTGAATATTTGATTATTGGTTCAGTAAAAAATTTGATGTATGGGGCTGGGAAGGTGGCTCAGTGGTAGAGTGCTTGCCTTGCATGCATGAGGCCCTGGGTTCGATTCCTCAGCACCACATAAGCAAAAAGAAAAAAGCCGGAAGTGGCACTGTGGCTCAAGTGGTAGAGCGCTAGCCTTGAGCTGAACAGCTGAGGGACAGCGCCCAGGCCCAGAGTTCAGGCCCCACGACCGGACCCCCCCAAAAAAATTTGATGTATATATCATGTGTGGAAAATATTAGAGACATTTCTCTATTATTGTTTTATATTCTGTTTCAGGAGTTGAAAATTTCGTGGGAGGAGCATATGGCTAGTGAGTTAAGAACTATAGTTAATCATATGGTACTGAGAATTGGTAAAGATGCATAGATCATCCCATGACAAAACAAGAAACCTTTGTGTATTGTGTGTGTGTGTGTGTGTGTGTGTGTGTTTGCAAGTACTTGCAGTGCATGCCCAAGTACATTAATCTCTCTCTTTTGTCCTAAAGCCACCAGTATCCAATCATTGGAGCTCAACCTTTATTACTTTATCTAATCCTAATCATCTAATTACTAATAATATAATGACATAATGTTCAGATTTGAAGATGATGACATTTTTCCAAAGCACATTTCCTTATTTTTGTACTTGTGCATCTGTTTGCCTTATGATGTGGTTTACTACAAACAGAAAACTGAAATTCTTCAGAGATTAAGAAAAGTGAAGATAAATTTGTTAATACCATCCTACACTTCCTTTTCTCCATTCTCCTCAATGCATGTACATAACTGCTTTAGGCTTCCACTTATGTTTTTTAGTTCAGACAAACATGCATTTTTTTCAAAAAGGTTATTAATAATTATTATAACAGAAATAGTGAAGCAAATGAAGAAAGTAAGCTTAATGTTTGTAATCTCTAAAGTAAAATGAGACAAGCACACCTGACATTGTGGAAGTCGGAGATACTTTGGGAGTGACGTGTTTGGTCTATGCAGGAGCACATATAGTTAATTTTGGTCAATAAGTAAATATCATTTTAAATTGTAACTTTCTGTTTAAAAACAATGATTAGAGATGTGGGATGTCAAATGTTCCTATAGTTTTATTCAAACAAAATTCTTCCCACTGTGTTTCCAAGGTTGTTGAAAGATCACATTAATTAACTGATGAATTGGCTCCTTTCTCTTTTCTCCTGCTTCCAAAAGCTGAAACAACCAAAAAAAAAAAAAAAAGGTCACTAAGTACTTGATGCAAGTGCCTACTGCCATTGTCAGGTGCAGTGTAGTATCGTGTGTTTGTGTGTGTGTGTGTGTGTGTGTGTGTGTGTATAATCTAAATTTTCAATACAACTTTGCAAAGAAAATTCCAGGAGGTAATAGAGGATGATAGGACTTAACTTGTCAAAAGGCACACAGGGTAAGAATAACCATACAGAAAAAAAGAGTCAGTATGTGAGCCAGGTCAACTTGACTCTATACTAATCTATGCCTTGATCTTGAAATTATACTGTAAAGTAATAGATTTAAAAAATGGAAGTGGATGAACAGATTAATGAGCAAATCTTGAACCAGAGACTTAGCCTTAAGCATTCCATTTTAGATCCAGGTAAAGTTTAGCATTTGGCTTCTAGACATTCAACATAGCTTTTGTATTTACCTATTTAAGATTTGCTCCTGTTGTAATGCACACACATTTTAAATTGTGACTAAAATTGTTTTTGCTTTCAGAATTGTACCTGTGTATTATAAGAATATAATTTGTAAGCACTTTAGAAACTGTGTTCATAGATAGAGAATAAGCTGTCTTTTTTCTGTTACTAATAATGCACAGACTAGGTAAATCATAAAGAAAAGAGATTTCTTTTGATCCACAGTTCTGACCTAAATTAAGAAGACTTGTCAGAGTCCTAAGACAATACAGTGAATCACATTGTAAGAAACAGGGAACGTGTGTGTGCACACACATGTGCATGTGTGTGTGTGTGTGTGTGATAGTTCTTGATCTCTCTCTCTCTTTTTTCATGAAGTCACGATAATCTCACTATAAGGACTCAGTCTTGATGCTTATCTTAGGTCCTTTCACAGATAACATCTCTAAACATGGTAGTTGGATTATGTTTCTTCTTTTCTAATACCTTACAAGGGAAGTGAAACTCCAGTATGAGTTTTGGAGAAATTGTATTGAGACCATAGCAGAGAGACAAGCACATAATGTGGACAAAGAAAGACCTTGAAGTCACATTTTGGTGGAGACCTTTGCCCTCCCATACCGTCTTCCAAGTAATTTACAACATCAAGGTTCTTTTAGATTTTTATGTTTACTTTAAACTTTAACAATATTACCTGAAGCATTTAAATGTTTTGATGAGATTATCTCATGACTTTTTTAAACCAACTCAGTGGAGTTTTTACTTGTGAAAATTTATTTCATAACTTAAAAAAGTAAAATGCATACAAATATCTGTTCTCAATTATTTATCCTTTCCTTTTTTTTGCCATTACACTCAGGGATGTGATTAATTATGGAGAAGGGCTGCAGGTTAGAATCAGCAACATGGAAAAGCAGAGCTTAGGAAATCCCAGGCAGAGATCTAGTTGTCTCTCCTAAGGATTTTCATGCATAACACTTTATTCTGTCAACAATGATGCATTTTGCAAATGTAGAAGCTTGCCTGAGCCTTGGGGTCCAGAGCTCTTGATTAGATCAGTTTCATAGGTGCACAGTGTCTTCAGATATTAGTTATCTCTTCTCCAGCTCCCAGATGTCAAACTAATGCCATGTGGTCAAAGCCTCATGCATATAGAAACACTCTTAGCAGGCAGGATATTTGAAGGTGGAGAGGTCATTTCCAAGGTGTTAGCTAAGAACCAGTTCTTTCTTTGCCATATGCATAATTTGAATAAAAGGCTGCTGTTAACCCTTTCCCAAGCATTTCTTTTGTTTTCCTTTCCTTCTTTTTTGAAAGTTTATGTAAGGGTCTCAAAAGGGTCTCAAAGACAGACAATACAGAGCAAAATGAAGCATCGGTTATAAAGCCACAACCACTGTTATCAATTTGGTGATTGTACTTATCACTTTGAAAATCACTAAAATATAATTTCTCTAAGGGATCCCATTTGTTGGTTGTCTTTACATTTTGCCGTTGAAATAGTCTCCTTTCATTGTTTTCTCAGCAAAATGGGAGCTCGTTGAAGGGCAGTGACTTCTTAGCATTTCCAGCCTGTGATTCCTGCCTCTAAATAAATACTATTGTTATTTTGTTATTTCAAATTGAATTATATCATGCAAGTCAGTCTGTAACTTGTGCTCATTTATGCTACTTAGAGTCAACAAAACTTCTTTAGCATTTGTTTTAGTGTTGTTTTTAAAAGTGTTATTAAAAGCCATAAAAATCACTCATGATGTCTCTTTAACCTTCATTTGATATAATCTACACTATTAAAGTCATACATGAAAGAAGCTTCTACCAGGGCTACTTTGCCCTGTGTTTCTAAGTGTTATTTCCATGAATGTATGTAGTAGACTGTCTAAAAATATCATGTGTATTAAATGTAATGAGAGATGTTGAGGAAAATCTAATTTAATTTCAATTTTCTTTTTAGAGCAGTATACAAAGATGCTGATTTGTACCTCTTAGACTCTCCTTTTGGACACCTAGATGTTCTAACTGAAAAACAAATATTTGAAAGGTATGTTATTTGAATAAGTTACTTATGATGCTAATATTAAAGGACAAAAATTACTATAGCCTCTACATTTTATGGACATTTTATCTCTTGTAAGCATATGTACCCACATTATTGTGACTCTGTAGTTAAAGATCACTTAAAACATTTTCTGGTTACCATTTGGTAAATCTATTTCTTACAATGCTATAGTATTAGAGCAACTATTATGTCTGTATGTATAGTCTGTGACAAATCTTTTATTATTTGTATTGTTTATTATACCTAAAATTTTTACTTACTTTAGTTGTTAGAGTATTTTATTCTCTCTCTCTCTTTTTAGATGGTAAGCTATTAACGGAAGAACACAGCAGAATGGCTTAGTGGTTTAATAGTGATTACTCAACTAAGCAGCCACTTCAATGTTTCCTTAGATCTCAGTCACACAAAGCTCAGGGTTTATATTCCATGGATATCCTAGTAGAATTTAATAGGTGTGAAGTCCCTAAAAGCAGGAGTTAGTTATGTGACTTGATTTCAAACTTTCAAAGTGGTTTTATGGACTATAAAATAGTTATTAAGAGAGTAACTATTACCCTCTACTAGAAATAATTTTCAACGAATAAGGCTATACTTGTATGTATAGTATGGTATCATTATAGTATGTATGGTATCATTATTCCTAGAAGCATTATTTCCTAGAATTCAAATTTTTGCTTTAGTTCAGGTTTTTCTTTTATATATCCTCAAGAGATGTGAAATAATTCTATGTCTGCTTTCTTTCTTTTATCATATACTAAATATCTAGGCCTTATTCTACTACATTAAAGCATAAAGCCAGGAGGGATGGGAAGGTGGCTCAGTGGTAGAGCGCTTGCCTTGCATGCATGAGGCCCTGGGTTTGATTCCTCAGCACCTCATAAGCAAAAAGATAAAAGCCAGAAGTGGCGGTGTGGCTTACGTGGTAGAGCGCTAGCCTTGAGCTGAAGAGCTGAGGGACAGCGCCCAGGCCCAGAGTTTAGGCCCCACGACTGGACCCCCCCCCAAAAAAAATCCATAAAGCCAAGGAAAACATTTGTCCAGGCATTATTTTTCCCTAAGGTACAATTTTGTGGCTTTATTTTGCTTGGTATTTTCTGTGTGTGTGTGTTGTGTGTGTGTTGTGTCTGTGTTGTGTTGTGTGTTGTATGTGTGTTGTGTGTATGTTGTGTGTGTTGTGTGTGTGTTATGTGTGTGTGTTGTGTGTTGTGTGTGTGTTGTGTGTATGTTGTGTGTGTTGTGTGTGTTGTGTGTGTGTATTGTGTGTGTTGACACATTAAAATAATTTGTCCATCATAAATCCCAGATATCTCATCTGAGCTGTGGGAATGGCATGCCAACTCCCACCAATGCAATCTCCACCCAAATTCTTCCCAGTTCTCATTTTTACTCAGAAGTTTCCAAACCAGTCACTATAATCTTAATATGCTCAACATGAAATATAAGAGGAAATCAATTGAAAACGTCAAGGAACAAAGTAGATCTGACCTTTTGAAAATATGTGGAGATGAAGGCATTGAAGTTTAGATGGCCTCCCTGTTTCCTGGGGAGGTAAACTAGACAAAATGTAAATGCTTTATTGGAAATAAGACATTACCAAATATCAACATTTTAATTTCTTTCTGGGTCTGTTCTGCATTACAATATAGCATCTGTTTCATGCTGTAGAATTTAAAAAGCTCCAGATTATTTATTATAGAGAATTTACTATCAGAATCACTTTAAGTACGGTAACAAAATGGTTTGATAGAGATTTTTATATAGTGAAATATTGCTAAAACGACATACATATATTTTATAATGAAATACTTATGAAATTGATATCTTATTTATATCTTTTTATATTCTTAAAGCTGTGTCTGTAAATTGATGGCTAACAAAACTAGGATTTTGGTCACTTCTAAAATGGAACATTTAAAGAAAGCTGACAAAATATTAATTTTACATGAGGGTAGCAGCTATTTTTACGGGACATTTTCTGAACTCCAAAACCTACGGCCGGACTTTAGTTCAAAACTCATGGGATTTGATTCTTTCGACCAATTTAGCGCGGAAAGAAGAAATTCAATCCTCACGGAGACCTTACGCCGTTTCTCCTTAGAAGGAGACGTTTCTGCCTCCTGGAATGAATCCAGAAAACAATCTTTTAAGCAGACTGGAGAGTTTGGAGAAAAGAGAAAGAACTCTATCCTCAATTCAATCAACTCCGTAAGGAAATTTTCAGTGGCACAGAAGCCTCCTTTACAGATCAACGGCATCGAAGAGGATTCTGATGAGTCCCTAGCAAGAAGACTGTCCCTGGTTCCAGATTCTGAGCCAGGAGAGGGAATTCTGCCTCGCAGCAACATGATCAACGCGGGCCCCACGTTTCAGGGTCGGAGGAGACAGTCTGTTCTGAACTTAATGACACATTCACCTAGCCAGGGCCCGAGCATTCATCGCAGGACCACAGCCTCCACCAGAAAAATGTCGTTGGCTCCTCAGGCAAGCTTAACGGAGATGGATATTTATTCCAGACGCTTATCTCAAGAGAGTGGTATAGACATCAGCGAAGAAATTAATGAAGAAGATTTAAAGGTACGTATTAACTATTAATTTTTTTTGCTCTAATTCCAAGACTGAAATTGAATGCAATGAGATATGGAGCCTGTGCCCTTCATTTAATGGAGTTGGGATAAAGTTTAAGACCTAGAAAATCCAAACCTAAAAATTAAGAAGGGAGGGGTGAAGGAAGGGCTGGAACGGGATGGGTGAGAATGTTCAAAGGGCTGGCATTGATCACCAGGCTCCGCACCTTCATCAACTGCTCTGTTCAATGGCAACCCCAAGCTTCCACCAGCTTCCATGCTGGGCATCTTAGAGAGAGAGTTTCAAGGACTTTTCTGCTTGAGCTGGCTTTCAGCTGTGATCCTCCAGGCCTCAGCATCCTGAGTAATAAGATTGCATGCCTGAGCCCCAGGTACCTGGTAATTATATTTTACTAGATAATTTCTCTGCCTTGGATTGTTTATTATGGAAAGAGTTGTAATAAATTAACATATTTAACAGCATCAGTTATTTAAAAGCAGAATCACAAGTCATTCAATATCTCCAGGCTAGAGTTTTTCTTTTGTGAAATGAAGGAATAGGTGATTCCCCAAAGCACATACTCTCAGTACGTCCATAATGTTCAAACGGTTTCTTAAAGAATAATTCATCAGTATGCTTTAGTATACACCTAAGTGAGTATCTAACTATCTCGATTTGGAGCCTGTATATTTAGTTGCAAAGAATGATTTCCTTAACCAATAATAATGATTACTTTTTGATTGTTTCTCTGCCTGGTAGCATATAGCTTAGTCCCCATTGCTATGCTAGAAGGTCAAATCACGGTCCTCATCCACAGGCAAGGACACTAGACCCCAGAGAAGTTAAAACACTTGAGTGAGTTCAAACAGCTCTGAGGATGTCAGTGATGGAATCTGAATTCAAATACTAGCCCCTATTACTCCAAAATTGCTCCTTTTAACCATGATGCTTTATTCCAGTTTCACAGCACCATTGACTTGATCAGAACAGGAGCACTAATAATATAATGCCTACAATAATACAATTATGCAGCCCAATGTATAGTTTTAGAATTTTTGAGAGTTTTAATACCTCTGTTTTCCAAAAGTTGTGTTGCTCCAATGGACATCATTTGGCTATTGAGTGACATCACATGTAGCATTCATAATGATAGATATTTATTAAAATTCACTTAGCTTCAAAGCAATATTCCTGATTTTGATGCCTTCAAAAAAAACTACAATGTCAGCTATGGAATGCTATTGTTTCGTTGTGATAACTTGTTTCGTTGTGATAACTGTGATTTGTTTTTCAGGAGTGCTTTTTTGATGATGTAGAGAGCATACCAGCAGTTACCACATGGAATACATACCTTCGATATATCACCATCCACAAGAACTTGATTTTTGTGCTAATTTGGTGCTTAGTTATTTTTCTGGTTGAGGTAAGGATATTTGGTTGTTAAATATTACTGCTATTTAAAGTTAAACTAAGACTAGTTTGGAAGGTGTATGCATTCATATATGCCCCCACACATATGAATTTGTGTGTGTGTGTGTGTGTGTGTGTGTGTGTGTGTGTGTGGAATAGTTTTTAGTTTCTAGAAATTAGTATTTAGAATTGCTGTTGGTATTTTATAATTTTATTTATTTATTTATTTTTATTGTGAAAATACTGTACAGAGGGGTTACAATTACATGGGCAAGATAATGAGTACATTTCTTATCACACAGAATAGGCTAAAACACAAAGACTATATATGAAGAACTGTTTTTTAAGTTATATGTATTTATTTTTTAAGTAGTTGTGCAAAGGAGTTTCAGTTCCACAAGTCAGATTATGAGTACAGTGCATCTGTGCTGCCCTTGAAAAGTCATTTTAAAATAAATTTTATTTTGTATAGTTATGTAACATGTAAAAGATTCATATGGATTGTAAAGCAATTACCACAGTAAAGCAAATTTTAGCATATTCTTCATCTTAAATAGTTAACCCATTCTCTTTAGTTTGTAGTGTCAGAGCAGTTAAAACCTACGCATTTATCAGGAATCTCAATTTTAGTAAAACTTAATTACCTGCAGTTCTCATGTACATTACACTTCATACATTATACTCCTAGATAGGAGGAGCTTTTAAAAGAGTGATTAAAATACTCAAAGTAGATGATCTTTATATAAATTGAAATTAAACATTGTAAATAATTCTGCACTAAGTCCTAAGTTTATTTAACTGAATAGCATTATTTTTTTAAAAAATTTATTGTCAAAGTGATGTACAGAGGGGTTTCAGTTACATAAGTAAGGTAGTGATTACATTTCTTGTCTAACTTGTTACCCCTTCCCTCAGTTTTTCCCTCTTCCCCCACCCCCACAGGAGCATTATTAAACATGCAAGCAGTTGTTCTTTAAATGACTGTTCTTCACAAAATGAGAAAAATATGTTTTTAATGTCTTAGAAACAATTTTAAACAATCCTTTTAGAATTTTAGATCACCTCTTGCTTAAAAATTGTTTGTTATTTCTAGTGCCACCATTGTGTTTCTTTTTTATGCCCATGTAAATAACAGAGTATTTTTATTTTATTTTGTGCTGGTACTGGGTGGGACCTCAGGTCCCCAGGTTCTTACTACTACTAAGGCTCTATCTACTACTTCAGCCATGCCTCCAGTTCCAACACCAAGGATTTGTTGTTTGTTTGTTTGTTTAGATTTTTAAAAGTTTGTCTTAGATGTGATTCTTTTCACACTGTCTTACGCTATGACACCGAACACAGTAGTTAATTTCCCTGAGAATGAATTTCCTTATCTGTAAAATGTGCTTAAAATGTTAGTAGCTTGATGGGTAAAGAAACATTGTGATTATTAGGCACTTAATGAGGCACTTAGTGACAATTAGTAATTACTATCAGCAAATACAATTAGTAATTACAATTAGTATTACTAATTGTCATTATCATCAATATCCTTACTTTCATATCTTTATTAAGTTCAAGATATTTGGAGGTGAACAAGTCTATAACAATGATATAATGAAAAGTTTAATAATTTCCTTTACACTTTAACAAAAATATAGGGTTGGATGATAAGGTATCTACACATGAGTAATACATATTATATCGAAATATATTTTAAGTTTTATCCTATCAATCTCTACTAGTTACCCTGAATGAAACCCAGCCTGAAACACATTTACTCTTAATAATCACTTTAACATTTTTTTAATTGTGAACATACTGTACAGAGGGGTTACAATTACATGGGAAAGATAATGAGTACATTTCCTATCAAGCATTTTAGCCTCCTCCTTTGTTTACCCTTCCCATCCCTTCCCAGCCTCCTCCCGTCCCCCCATCCAGTCCTCCCCCCCCAAAGTTGTAAAGTTTGTTTTCAACATGACAACTTGTACTTCTCATTGCTGCAATGGGTCCACCTCTTTCCTTATTTAAACGACTTGTTTTTCCCCTTCCCCTCCACAAATTATACCGACATCAAATACAGTGAAAGCAGGTGTGGGGGAGGGACATACAAAGCAATAAAGAAATAATCCTATAAATGCGTTAGAAACAAATGAATAAAAGGAAAAAACATTTAAATACATATCTTAGGGTTCATTTTCCTAACATCACCTTATCTGACCTTTTCTGCTTGACTCAGACATATACTGGATATTGCAAATAAGGGAAACCATGGGACCTATGTTTCTTTGGGCTTGGCTTACTTCACTTAATATAATTTTTTCCAAGCCTTTCCATTTCCTAACAAATGGGGCAATGTCATTCTTTCTGATGGAGGCATAGAATTCCATTGTGTATATATACCACATTTTCTTGATCCATTCATCTACTGAGGGGCATCTGGGTTGGTTCATTAATAGAAAGATTACTTGTGAACCTTCTGTACTGAAAAATCACATCACTTTATCATCTTCAACTTCTGTAAAAAAAAGAGTCTGAATTTGGGGGTAGTTTCTGTTGACTTGAAAGGCCTTTTCTCATGCTGGCTCCATAAAACTGAACTTACATCCTTTGTTAGAATGATCTAGCACATTGAATGTTGAGTTGCTACACATAAGTCTGGTATTATTTCACTTAAGGAAAGGACAATCATCCTTTATCAACAAGCAAGAAGCTAAATTTTCTAATAACCCATCATTATTTGAATACTCAAAATTATTGCAAAAATATCATTTGAGTGGACAAAAATGATGATCATGTCCTTTGGGGGACAAGAAATAATCCAAACAATGATAAGTCTTTTGGGTTCAATATCTTATAGGCACTTCCCATCAAGTAGTTTCAAACTTTTGAAGAACAAAACATAGTAACAATAGAAAGTAGTAATTTCTAAGTTATGTACACAGTTATCCACTGAAATAATTTGTTCACCAGTATTCACAATTCTGTTGTTTTCTTTGAATCAAAATGCATGTGGTTTTTCTTTGAGACTGAGCTACTTTATTAAAAGCAGAGTGCTCTATTTATAAATATTAGTAGAACAGTTCAGTAGTACTTCATGGTGTAGATCAAGAGTTGGTTTTGTTCTTTAGGACCTCTTTCTGATGATCAGAGAACCTAATGAAATGTTATGATACTTTTCTTCCTGATTTATTATATTTTTAGTTTTAATTAGCACTCAATTTGTATTTAGATTCATGATTTTACAGGATAGGTTTAGCATCTTTCTCATTCTCAATGTGAAATACAATAGTCTTTTTTTTATTCTTTCCAACCTATTAAACTAAAAAAAATTCAGTTTGTTACCACTTATCATTAGAAAGTCATTTTGAAAAGGAAATTAATCTACCTTTTGTGTATTTTTTACCATTTTCCCCACAGAGCATATCTTCTATGAGTCTTTAGATATTAACACAAAGCAAATAGACTATAAAATTTCTATTAACACAAAGCAAATAGACTGTAAAATTTCTGTAATGATGGCATTTTATGCAGCCCTGTTTGACACTACATCATGGACCAGATGAAGACAATGCAAATAATAAGTTAGATGTAGCTATCCTGGTTCTATTACAACTAGAGAGTGTTATTCAGTGGAACATTTGAGGATCCTGTTATTGTTTCATTCTCTGGCTTTTAAAACAGTGTTAGAAAATTGCTAGATCCTGTTCTTTCATGACTTCCTTGTTTTGTTTGTTAAACAGGAATCCTTGAATAGCTTGATATTATTAATAAAATGGATTTTTAGTATTCCTTAATTCCACTTCTGCCGTTGGCTAGGGCACCTTACATCATCAATAAAGATCTATTATCTATTAGTTATTTTAGGGCATGTATTAACTCATGAATCATTGAAATCTAAGTATTGAAGCATACTGTTTTAACCAGGCATGGTGGTACATGTCTGTAATCTCAGCCCTTGGGAGGCTGTGGCAGGAAGATAGAGTGCTCAAGGCTTATATAGAAAGATCCTGTCTCCAAAGCCAAAATGAAATCAGAAGTATACTGTATTCTGTATGATATAGAATGATGTTCAAACCTTGAGAAAATGAATACCTTTCTGCTTCTCCATCTTCACCAACTAGAGCTGTCAGTCTAACACAAATTGCATGAACTTTATAACCACTACACATTTGGAAATGAAATGAATGTATGTGTTTCTATAAGCCCCAAATACACATTACTAAAATCATTACATCCTTGATAATGTTTTAATTCCAGTCAATAAAAGAAATTTGGATCTGTGGTTCCATGTACACAGAGGGACCAGGAAGTAAGTTTAGGACAGTTCTCTAGAACATTGCTTTGATTATTGTTCCATTAGTAAATAGCATAGAGTATTTATTTCTCAGATTTACTCACATTCAGAAAATGTTGGCAGCACCAGTCTTATTGACACTCCTTTAATTGGAACAAATGTGGAATGTAAAAATCAAAGAATGACTCAGAACATATACCTGTATCTAAGATCTTGGGTAATTTGATTAGTGTTAAGCATTAGGAAGACAATTGTAGGAGAATAAAGGCTTTTGAAAAGGCTGACATCTTGGTAGACTTGTTGTTTTCAACTTATTTGAAGCACAAGGAAATAAAGAGAATTTTTTTTTTTATTGAGACAGAACATGGAGGCTTGGTACAATGAACAAAAAGTAGGAAAACCAAGAATACCATTAGATTTTGTACCATTGTACTCACATCTCGTAAATTTAACTAAAACATACATGCTTTTAAAGTATAGTATTTGTCGATGTAATTTCTTTTTTTTTGCAGTTCCGTTTTCTTTTTCATTATTTTGTTTTGTTTTGTTTTTTTATTGTGAAAATACCATACAGAGGGGTTACAATTACATGGGCAAGGTAATGAGTACATTTCTTATCAAGCATTGTAGCCTCCTCCTTTGTTTCCCCTTCCCATCCCTTCCAATCTTCCCTCACCCCCCGCATTCCCCCTTGCACCAAAGTTAAGGACGCAAATGATTTTTCTTTCTTGCTCTTGTTTCTAACATTATAAGATATTTCTTTGTTGCTTTGTATGTTCCTCCCACATGGTATAACCCCTGTTTTCACTGTATTTGATGTTGGTATAATTTGTGGAGGGGAAGGGAAAAAAAGCACTTGTTTATATAGGGATACAGGTGGACCCATTGCAACAATGAGATGTACAATATGCTATGCAATTTCTTATCTAATGCTATTTTATCTGTAAATTTTAAAATGTGATATTGTTAAATATTTATGGTAAACTCGAGTGGGAAAAAGAATTGCAGTTGTTTTAGACATATATATATTCCCTATTATTTTTACGTCTGAAGTCATTTTACTCATAATTGTTTGCCTTTTCTATTTTATTCTGTGTTAAAATTACTATTGGTATAATTGCATAATTTGAGAGTCATTTCAGCCTACTAAAATAAAGCTGTTATCAATATAATGTTAAATTTTTTCACAGGTTTTTAAGAAGGGGATGCCAATTGAAATAGGATAGAGCACAAAATTAATTAATGTTAAATTATTTTCATTCATTATAATTTCTAAAAAGACCATAAAAACAGTTATTTAAAATATTTTTGTTTGGTTACATATGAGATAGAATGTTTCTCCCTCAGTCAAATGTCAATGAGAAAGCCCTGAATTTGAAGTAATTCTAATGCCGATAATGTCTTTTAATCTAAGTGTACCTTCTCTTTATTAAAAGCTGTGGATTTTTATTGTTAAAACTTGTAGATGGGGCTGGGAAGGTGGCTCAGTGGTAGAGCACTTGCTTCGCATGCATGAGGCCCTGGGTTTGATCCCTCAGCACCACATAAGCAGAAAGAGCCGAAGTAGCATTGTGGCTCAAGTGGTAGAGCGCTAGCCTTGAGCTGAAGAGCTGAGGGACAGTGCCCAGGCCCAGAGTTCAAGTCCCCTGACTGATTAAAAAAAACAGCTTGTAAGTGTTTTTCATAAATATTAATCTCATCTTTCCCTATATTTAATTTGCCTTATAGGTATTAGTCTTCCTAATCACTGCACAGTCTTTATAATCATTGTAATTCCATTGCAAATGAAATGATTTGTAACAACCAAAACAAGATTAATCATGTCAGCAGACTGAGATTAGTCTCTTTTCTAAAAGTAAACTTTATTATTTAAAATATTAAGCTGTGGTTTTTAGCTCTCCTGTAAGATTCAACAAATAGTCCTGTTGAGTAAGAGGGAGAATTGGCAAAATATTTACTTCAGTAAAAACTGAATTCCATAAACTTAATGTGTTCTTACCACAAATAATGGTGCTTAGCATAGTTATCGCAGCTCATGGATTCTCCCCAATAAAGCAAAAAAAATGAAGTGTTTGTGTTCTTCGATGTTGGTCATATTGAATTTAAAACTGGCCAGGGAAAGGGTAGGTAAAATGTTAGAAACAAAAAAGAACCTGTGTATTGTTCCTTTCCAGGTAGCTGCTTCTTTGGTTGTGTTGTGGTTACTTAAAAAGTGAGTATTCCTTGTTTTACTTTGGATTGGGTTATGTTTCTGTTGATTACTAGAGTCTTATAAAGTATTTTAATATGCAATAGTTTTCATTTTGTCTTAATATTACTGTCATCTTTGGGTTTTTTTTTTTGCCAAGGTTGCATTCCTGGGCTCTTGAATCCATAGATCCTCAGATGTACAGATGCTAAAGTCCCTTATGTAAAATGGTGTAACATTTGCATATAACATAAAAATCTTCTCATCATCTCTAGATTACTTATAGTATCTTATAAATGGGTTGTTTAGAAAATATTGGCCAAAATGTCTGCTCATGTTCACTGCAGATACAATTTTTTTTAAGTTTTTCATTCTAGTACTGGCTGAATCTATTGGTCTAGAGGGCCAATTGTGAACATGTACAGATCCTACATCTCTTTTCTCATTTCTGAAGGGATTATTTGTGATCAGTTCCCATGAACTGTAATAAAATATGTGAAACAACCTAATGTATTTAGTATTTTACTCATGGTATTTTGATCTAGTAAGGTTCAGAAATATCTTCCACTAATGAGAGACTTAACCAACTTTCTTGCAATGGAATTTTTTTTGAGATCAATGGCACAAACCATAGGTTGTGTTTCTTTAGATTCCAAGTTAGTGTTGTTTGCATTTATTGAAATTTAAGTGGGTAAGTTGTGTTGCCAAATAACATTTTCCCTTTTGTTTTCCAGCATTCCTCCTCAAGATGATAGAAACAGCACCAAAAGTACAAACAACAGCTATGCTGTGATTATCACCAACACCAGCTTCTATTACATTTTTTACATTTATGTGGGAGTGGCCGACAGTTTGTTTGTTCTGGGGATCTTCAGAGGTTTGCCACTGGTACATACACTGATCACGGTGTCGAAAATTTTACATCACAAAATGTTACATTCTGTTCTTCAAGCACCCATGTCAACCCTCAACACACTGAAAACAGGTATTTGACTTGGTATACAGACTGAAGCTGTTGATCTGTTGATGACAGGGGCTGCACTTCTGTTAGCTAGCAGTGGTGCTGGTTTTTGCATCTGCCCTATGCCGAGTCTCCTTATAGGCAACCCGGATCACTGATACTTTACAGTGGCCAAATAGAGGAATCACATGATGTTAATGGGACTGTGACAGTGGAAGCAATGTCTTCTGGATCACTTGTCCTTCTCTTTTCAGATGTTTTTTCTAGCCAATTTGGGTCATCTTGCTCTTCCATGCACAGAATCCTCAACCAGAGAGAAGATTAAAAATGGTCAAGTACAATATCAAATTCTTCTCCTAATAATGTCCTTTGATAGAATAGAAAATTCTAGTTTTGTGGACCATCATCTAAATTTCTTCTGGGGTTTTGAGGGAGCTTGAGGGGAATTCCATTATACTTAAAAATTATTTTTGACACCATCACAGTTAAAGTCACGGCAAGTAAGAATCATGCAATCAAGGGACCAAAATGTTTCCAATTTAGAATAATAAGGTACTTAGAAAGTGGTATAGTCCATTGATTCCCTTTAAGACACATTCATGGAGCTGGTAAGGTGGCTCAGTGGTGGAGTGCTTGTCTCACATGCATGAGGCCCTGGGTTCGATTCCTCAGCACCACATAAGCAGAAAAAGCCAGAAGTGGCACTGTGGCTCAAGTAGTAGAGTGCTAGCCTTGAGCTGAAGAGCTGAAGGACAGTGCCCAGGCCCAGAGTTCAGACCCCACCAACTGACCAAAAACAAACAAACAAAAAAGGCATTCACAATGAAAGGTTGAGGTTGGTGAGGAAACTCTGAGATTTCATTCGTGTAGCAATCTGTCAAGCTCTAAGCCAAGGAAGGGCTGATCTGTAAGGCTGAATAAGGTACCATTCTTGTCATGAGGAACTCATGGATAAAGGGACTAGGTGGACACAGTAAGCAAAGAATAAATTGAAAGATTGGGATTTTTAGAGTGACTTACATAAAAAAATCAAGAAACACTTATCATTTTTTTTCTTCTGGTGACAAGGATTCAGTGTTGATATGCAGGATGCTCTTTATATTGATTTGGAAACTCATGCATATCACCAAGGACTTACTTCATTTGGATATGGGGATGTTCAATTCACTTGATAGAGTGAGTTGATTCTTTTTAATAGAAATATTAGGTTTAGGGAAGGCAGAGGGTTTGTCTCAGTTTCTGGTGGAGTCACAACTGGGCCATGTAATGTAACAGAAAGAAAACAAACATTGTTTGAGACCCAGTTTATTCCACCATAGTGATAACTATGGGCCAGCTACCCTTCTGAGCACTGGCATCCTGGACTATTGGGTGGGGAAAAGGATTATTATATTAGAGAATCTTGAGAGAATAGGACAAGATGGTTTACTGGCTGGTTAATAGCCAGCAGGAGATAAATATTAGCTTCCCATCCTCACTCACTTGTGTTCTTTCCACTGGGGTATGTTTTTCCATTTCACCCCTACCTCTCTGATTTTGTCATTCCCTTAAACACTACTTCTGAGCCTTTTCTATTTTAAATTTAAGGGACTGTCAATCATTTCCTTTTTCTCATTTGCTTTACTTTTCAAATTGTCCTCTGTTGAATAGGAAGATGTCTAAACAATTGTGTGTTGTTTGTTGTTTGTGTTCTTTTTTTTTTTTCAGTCGTGAGGTTTGAACTCTGGCCCTGGGTGAAGTCCCTGAGCTCTTCAGCTCAAGGCAAGCACTCTACAGCACCACTTCAGGTTTTCTGGTGGTTAATTGGAGATAAGAGTCTCATGGACTTTCCTGTCCTGGCTGGCTTTGCACTGTGATCCTTTAATCTCAGCCTCTTAAGTAGCTAGGATTATAGGAATGAGCCACCAGTCCCAGGCTTGTTTGTGTTCTCTATGTCTTAAATGACTGTTTTATTTTTGTTCCTGAGAAATGAACTAGCAAGGTGATCTTACAACACTTCTAGTTCTTTGTCTGCCTCTGTATCTTCCTCCACTTCTGTATATACAAAATTATGCTTTCTTTTATAAAAGCATACTTGTCATTTCTATCACTTAGTCATTCTCTGTTATACCTGGAAACAAGCAGTACCAGGTTCACTTGCATCTTTCCCTATATGTGCCATTCTGTGATTGTACATTGACCTTGATTTTTTTGTGGCTGCTTGCATGATCTCCCTGTGTCGCATTTGCCTATATTTTATTAAAATCAAGTAGTTGCACAAAGCGTTTCACTTTAACATGGCCACATGAGTGTGAAATGTTCCTTGGTCAGATTAATTTGCCCCATCACTCTTTTCTCCATCCCCCTTTCTATTATGAAAACCAATTTCAACAGTTTCATTGCTCAATTTTCACATATGTACATAAAGTCTGTCTTTTTTTTCTGTTGGTCATGGGGCTTGAACTCTGGGCCTGGGCAATGTCCCTGACCTCTTCAGCTCAAGGCAGGTGCTCTATCACTTGAGCCACAGTGCCATTTCTGGTTTTCTGGTAGTTAATTGGAGATAAGAGTCTCACAGACTTTTCTGCCCAGGCTGGCTTTGAACTATGATCTTCAGATCTCAGCCTCCTGAGTAGCTAGGATTTCAGGCATGAGCCACCAGCACCCAGTTAATCATTTTAAATGACCATCAGATACAGACATATATCAGGTACTCTGAAGTGCATGTTAGTGTACTTTGACAAAAGAATCACTAGAAATATACAAATATAATCACCAGGATGATATTTTTTGTGCCAATTTCTGAGGCTTGAGCTCAAAGCTTGGTTACTGTCCTTGAACTTTTATACTCAAGGCTAGCATTGATAGAATGAGCCACAGCTCCACTCCTAGCTTTCTGATGATTAATTGGCAGTAAGTCTCATGGACTTTCCTGCCTGAGCTAGCTTTGAACATCAATCCTTGGATTTCAGCCTTCTGAGTAGTAGGATTACAGGCATGAGCCACCAGCTCCCCCGATTTTTAGCCAAAGTGAACTTTAATTTTTACACAATAGTTGTAAGTACCAAGGGCTATTGTTTTGCTTTGGGAATATAAAAATATATACAAAGATGTTTAGTGAATATGCTAAATAACATACTGATCAATATACATATATCAAATAGTTCTTACACAAGGCCTTTTGCTTAGGTCTGTATATGATATAAAGCAAACATGAACAACCCCAATTAGATCTAGCTATTTACAATCTAGAAAAGACATAAGAAATGAGATGTATAAGACACTATGTTGAAAATAAGCTTTACAACTTGGGAGAGGAGGGAGGAGGTGGGGAGATGGGGAGGAAAGGAATAGTAGGGAAAAAACAAAGGAGAAGGTAACAATGTTTGATAGGAAATGTACTCACTACCTTACTCATGTAACTGTAACCCCTCTGTACAGTATGTTTTCAATAAAAATATTTATTCAAAATATAAAATAAGTTGAGCTTAAAAAAATAAGACATGTACATATATAGGAAGATATAATTTATAGCACACATAATGTCACTGCAATGCAGACTTAAAGACAGGAAGAAGCCTTTAAATGCAGTCACAGCAAACACCAATGCTTTCCTGTAGGAGACATTTGAGTTAGGCCAGGGAACAGATACAGATTTGGGCAGGCTGTGGAAATGAGGGGAAAGGGCTTTCAGGTAAAGGGAACCACAGGAGAAAAAAGTATTTGAATAGAGAAAGCTGGTATGAGTTAAGGTCAAATCATGGAAAGCATTAAATATTAATATCACTATTATGGACTTTATTCTGCAGTTAATAGTGGGACAATGATAAGGTTTCATTTTACTTTTATTTATATGGTGTTACATTTTATCCAGATGTTTGTTGGACTCCTCTCTAGACATTAAATTCCTCAAGGGCAAGAAGTATGTCTCCTGGCTCACTGGAAACATTCTGTTTGGAACTAGGATTTTTGGTTTTGTTGTTGCTGTTCTTTTTCATTGAAGAAACAAATGATCAGACTTTCAGTTTAAGTTTAGAATTTGGGAGGAAGGTTGAAGCATCTATTGCCTGTAAAGTGAATAGAAAGATAATATAGTAAATGAAGTTCACACCTTGGACATTCTAGGAGGGAAGGCAGCCACAGATCATGCCTAGAAGTCAGAGGAGAGAGAGTAACTTGAGATGGAACATGGACATAAAGCAAACAATGAAAGCTTGTACAAAATTATCTTTAGGCTTATGGTTGCACAAGTGAAGTTGAATAGTTTAGCATGAGCTCATGCATGTAATACCCTGAGCAGTCATTCTTTAAGGGCCCATCATAACATTGCTTTAAACATTAGTGCTTTAAGGCATTGGTGTTTTACCTGAATCTTACAAGAATCTCTATTTTATAAAAAGTCCAAAATAAGAGAGAGTACCTTGAACACGTAGCTTCTTACAGCCTTGACTAAAATTGTCAGATTCCTTGTTTAGCTGATTACCTGCTAATTCTTATTTGAGAATGCTTATTCTTATTTGAATGCTTCAGCTTGATTCAGATTTATCATTAGCCATATTGCTCTGTCTTTTTCATATACTTGATTTTTGAGAATTTTTCTTTGTGTTACAGGTGGGATTCTCAATAGATTCTCCAAAGATATAGCAGTTTTGGATGATCTTCTGCCTCTTACCATATTTGACTTCATTCAGGTTTGTAAAAGTTAACTGTTGACATTGGCCATATTGTTTTTCAATGATTTTAAAAGAAGTAAGCACATGTTTTTTTCAGGTTTTTTTTCATTTGATTAAGTGTTGAAATGTTTTCTGTTGCATAAGTTTGGAGAATATCGAGTCTTCAGAATAAGCACAAATGTAATATATCCAGTAGCAAATCATAACTGTTTATCTGGTTCAAGCTCGAAACAATCCACCTTTTAGATATACTAACTGGGTACTTGCAAGTGATTAAAAAGGTAGTAAAGGCCATCTTCTCCCAAATCACTGGTCACAAAGTATGACATTCTGGGTACTAGCATCATTATGTGATAGCACAAGGCTCATGTTAAAATGAAGATAAGTCTCTGGGGAGGTCACACTAGAATCCATCCTCACCCAGGAACACTTAGGCACAAATTAGCTTTTAGCTTTATAACTTTAGCAAGTTAAGTGCCACAATGAAGAGAGGAAAGGGAGATACATGAATAGTACAAGAAGAATTCAGGCTGTGTGAGGGCATTCTCTATGCAACTACTGTACATAGCTTTTCTAGGAAGCCAGGCTGTGAAGCTGACTCCTGGGGTGAGGTGATTCCTGGGTGGTCAGAAGAGAGGGCAATGGGTTAAAGATAAAAGTGACCTTGGGATACTGCATTGGAACTCCAAAGTGACAGGGTTTAGGAGAGTTGTCACTTGATACTCAGCTGTAGCTTCCTTCCTAGTTTAGATGACACTCAAGGCACCAAATGCTAGTCTCAAGGATTGTGTTGGAGAAAGATTTGGCACAAAGTATTGTTATTCTTTGAATGAGACATTCTTACATTTTGTCCCCTCTTAACACTTCCAAAATAATTCTTCACTGAAATGATTTCTTTCAAATAAAATAATGGCTTTGTGTGTGTGTGTGTGTGTGTGTGTGTGTGTGTGTGTGTGTGTGTACAACCAACACTGGCAGATGCAGAAAACCCAACCTGTCGGTTTGCCTTATCTGAAACAATTGACCCAATCAAATACATTTACTGCTCCAAGTGACCTTTAGCATATTGGATTTCCTTCAATTGCTGTGTTTAGAGATATAACTCAGCAGCACCTGCTGGAATTTTTTAATCCATGTTTTGAGTTAATATAGTCAAAGGACTGTTTCCTATGCCTTTCTTTTAATGCTGGGTACTTGTTACTCCTGGTATGATGGCAGATGACTGGCTCCTAATATAACATGATTAAATCAGGTAAAAACTGGAATCTGGAAATAGTCATCTGGTTGCCAAAGTGTTTGCAAATGACACAAATTATACCCCTTTTCTACCTCTAGCGAATCTAATGAAGCTCTTCCAAGTTTCTTTGTGGCCCATCTCTGAAATCTCCTGGAGAGTTAATTTTTAGATATTTCTTTTATAAATGAACATTTTTTGACATGTGATGGCTCTTAACTAATTTGCATGCCAGTTTCAGTGTTTCTGTGCAAATGTTAAGGTTCATTTGTTGTTGCTTCACAAATAATTAGACACAAGTGATTTTCTTTTACTTTAATCTGTTTCTTTTATAGTACCAGAGGTCCCCACTTTAAGGAAGCATAATTTATGACAATCCAAATGCAGTAAAAATCTGATTAATTTTGAGTTAATTAAATAAATAATTGCAAGCATTCTTTAAATTGTGAGCATTCTCTAGTTACAATTAGTTATTTTCAAGCAAATAAAATTAATTATATTCACAATATTTCAGGAATCCATCTAGTGCACAAAATGGATTAATCAAATCCCCCCCCCCCATTTTTCTCAGCTGTGGGGCTTCAACTCAGGGCCTGGATGCTGTCTCTGAGCCTCTTGGTGTTCAAGGCTAGTGCCCTACCACTTGAACCACAGTGCCACTTGGTTTTTTTTTTTATCTTTTTTTTTTATCAGTTGTGGGGTTTGAACTCTGGGTCAGGGCGCTGTCTCTTTGCTCTTCAGCCCAAGGTGAGCAGTCTACCACTTGAGCCACAGCACCCCTTCCAGTTTTCTGGTAATTTATTGAAGATAAGAGTCTAATGGGCTTACCTGCCTGAGCTGGCTTTGAACCACAATCCTCAGATCTCAGCTTCCTGAGTAACTAGGATTGCAGGCATGAGCCACTGGCGCCTGGCTCCACTTCTGGCTTCTAAATGGTTAATTGGAGACTTTTTTGGCCAGAGTGGCTTGGAAACATGAACCTTAGATCTTAACCTCTTGAGTAGCTAGGAATACAGGTGTGAACCACCAGTGCCTGACTCACTAGATTTCCCTTTTAAAATAAGCTGAACTCTAATTCCAACTTTTGATAATGCTTGGCACAAATCTGGATAATAAAACTGGAAGATTTGTGTTCTATTTCAAAGATACCACTACTTCACCTTACACAGATACTTAATTTCAAAGAGTTTCTGGGTTGCCAACTGTAAAGCAAGAAATTGAAACCTCATGGTACTCTCTTTCAGTTGGAAAGTTAAATGGTTAAAACTAGAATGCTGACCATACATGAGAAATTTATGCTGAAAGGCAAACACGAAAAAGCTGAACTCTGGTGTCTTATCTATCTCTATAGCTTGGCAAATAATTTTTCTTTCTGAAACAGAAGCATGCATAATTCTAAAACCTATTCTCAGCCTCAAAGCTTTAAGGACTTCTTTCTCCTCCAAGTTGAATGGTTACACAAAGTCCTTCTATTTTCATCTCTTCAATGTGACTTTTATATTTTCCCTGCACATTTATCCCTGTTAATGTCTGTTCACATTTTCAAGGACCTCCTATCACTAAGGAGTTAAAAACAAATCTACTGTTCATTGAGTGGTTTTCTTTTCTTGCTTTCTTGTTTTCTTAGAAGCTTTCTTATAATCTGGCTTTCTCATTTTCTTGATTTTCCAGGCCTGGGGCACTGTTCCTGAGCTTCTTTTGCTCAAGGCTTGCACTCTACCACTAGAGTCACAATGCTACTTCCAGCTTTTACCATTTATGTGGTACTGAGAAATTGAACTCAGGAATTCATGCATGCTAGTCAAGCTCTCTATCACTAAGCCATATTCCCAGCCCAATTTCCTGGTTTTCAATAGGCCTTAATTTTTTTTTCCAGTCCTGGGGCTTGAACTCAAGGCCTAGCACTGTCCTTGAACTTCTTTTGCTCAAGGCTAGCATTTGATCACTTGAACCACAGGGCCACTTCTGGCTTTTTCTCAATATGTGGTACTAAGGAATCAAATTCAGGGCTTTATGCATGCTAAACTAGCACTCCACCACTAGGCCACATTCCCAGGCCAACCTTTAAACGTTTTTTTAAACCACTTTCAAAGTGGCCCTTCATTGTTATCAACTGTTTCTGTTTAACAGCTCTGTGGGATCCTCTGTTTCAGGAGTGCTTTGAAGCTGCTGTGGTGGGTGAATATGTGCTGCCACATCACAGGAGAATGGTTGTGTGAACTCAAGTTTTCAGACTCAATCACTGACCCTCCCAGGAATGTTTAGGATTTGGTTATAGATGTGTGTGTTTGTGTGTGTGTGTGTGTGTGTGTGTGCGCGCGCACTTGTGCATGCATGTGTGAGTGTGTGTGTGTCTAGGGGATCAAATTAGCCTTGTACATGATTACTTAGTACTTTATCACTGAACTATATCCCCTTTGGGAGATATAGTTCAGTGATAAGAAACTAGAAAACTCTTACTTCGTCTTGTTCTGAAGTCCTACCGTTGATTTATTTCAATATTGCTTTGTTTACTGGGATCTCACTTCTTGCCTGGGAGCATGTCTGGCTGCAATCCACCTGTGTTAGGATCTCTAATAGTTAGCTCTTTATTGAAAAGGGACCATTTGGGCTTCTTTCTGTCTAGGCTGGCTTTGAACCATGATCCTAACAATGTAAGCCTCCCAAGTAACTAGGTAAAAGACACTGGCTTTAATTTTAAATTAAATAAGCTATCTCCTCCATTTTTTGAGCTATTAGAGCATATCCAATTATTTCAAAGAATGAGAGCAGGAAAACTGGGAAGTAAATTTTGTTAAGTATAATTTATTTATTTTAATATAAACATATGAAAACTAGCCTGCCTTAAATGACCTGACTGTATTAAAACCATGTATTTCTAAAGATCCCCAAACAAATGTCCACTTGCCAAAACTTTTCTAAAATTTTGTCTAAAATTCACATTCATATTGAAATTAGTTCAAAATGGTTTTTTTATAGGTTAGGCTAAAACATTCATATTCATTTAAAATTTGTTTATTACATACTATTTTATGGTATCTGGAGCTGGCACTCATGGCTCAGGCCTATAATTCTAACTACTCAGATAAGTTGAACCCAGAAGATCAATATTTGAAGCCAGCTCAGGCAGAAAAGTCCTCAAGATTCCCCAGCAACAACTAGCAAAAAGTCAGGCTGGGGGCATGGTACAGCACCCGCTAAGCAATCAAGTCCAGAAAGTGTGAGATTGTACCTCTGTACTGGCAAAACAACAACAACAATGATGTTTCTGGAAAACAAGAATGTGTGGAGAACAAAGAACATCAGCCTTTCAATACTTCAGAAAATTTATTGGCAACTTAAACCATAGTTTGACTTTTTACAGGACCTAGAAACAAATGTCTTTTGAGATGATCCCATTCCCAGTTTAAAAAAAAAAAAAAAAACACAGCTCCCTCTATTAAGGATAGAGCAGAGTAGAAAGAGCTTATGTAGAAGTAAATCACTGACACACCTTGTCTACTTTAGATTGTGAACATATGTACTGACTGACATGTTTTCTTTGATGCTACAGTTGCTATTAATTGTGATTGGGGCGGTGGCCGTAGTCTCCATTTTACAACCCTACATCTTCCTAGCATCTGTGCCTGTGATAGCAGCCTTTGTCCTTCTGAGAGCTTACTTTCTCCGCACCTCCCAGCAACTCAAACAACTGGAGTCTGAAGGTATGGCCGGGAATGTGCAGTGCTCACCTGCAGTGAAAGCCACAAGAGCCAGCAGGGATTCACTATATGTTAATTTACTTTTTGTTGTGGTTGTTGTTGTTGGTTGTGGGGCTTGAATTCTTGGCCTAGGCCTCATCTCTTCAGCTCAAGACTAGTCTTCTACCACTTGAGCCACAGCACCATTTCTGTTTTTTTGGGGGTGGTTTATTAAAGATAAAAGTCTCATGGACTTTTCCCGGGCTAGCTTTGCACCATGATCCTCAGATCTCAGCCTCCTGAGTAGCTAGGATTACAGGTGTGAGCCAACAGTGCCCGGCTTGTTAATTTACTTTTTGAAAAACATATTTCCCTGCTGTAAAGTCTTACATTATGTATCAATGCTTTTTTGAAATGTATACATATACACATATACAAACACACACATATATGTGTATACATACACACACACAACAAAACTACATTGCAAAACTACACATGAATTGTTTTAGTTAACTAATGACTATGTGATTGAATTTGGTTTAGAAATAAGTGTGTTAAGTCCTCTGAGGTTTGGTGTATAGGATACTGATTTGTTACATATAATATATATATATATATATATATATAATATTTAAAAATAGAAGTGCTGCTAAATTTTCTACAATTTTTTAAATTTTTCCATTGGTTCCCAAATGACACTAGACTGAATTCTTGCTTGTTGTCTTCCTTTCCTTTATGTTCTTTATGTCTGGGAGCTGTTAACCTCTACTTGAGCCCTTTGACAGGCACATTTTTCAGTAATAGCTTAAGTACAAGTATATTTTTAGGGAGTAAACTACGATTATCTTTCTGTTTTCAGAGTTACTTGTTAAATAAACTCTTAGGAATATTTTGTGTATGTGTGTTGATTATGGGGCTTGAACTCAGAGCCTGAGCACTGTCCCTGAACTCTTTTGCTCCAGGCTAGCTCTAAACTATTTTAAGCCACAGTGCCACTTCTTATTTTCTGGTGGTTTGTTGGAGATAGGAGTCTCATGTACTTTCCTGTCTGGCTGGTTTTGAACCACAATCCTCAGATCTTAGCCTACTGAGTAGCTAGGATTACAGGCGTGAGTGATTGCTGCCCTGATCATATGAATTCTTAGTTGAGACACTTCTTAGTTGAGACACTTGATAAAAAGTTGTCTCTAAAGAAAACTAATTCTTATCATTTAAATTTTCAGGATTAGCCAGAAAAAAAAATGCCCAGGGTAGGGAGGATATCAGAGGGGTTCATATCTCTAATCCAGTCACTAAGCAGGAGGTAGAAATAGGGAGGATCACCAGTTAGTGGCCAATTAGGACACCGAGTTAGCAATACCCTTTTCTCAATAAGTAAACTGTGCATAGTAGCACATGCTTGTGACCCCAGCTTCTCTGGTGTCTAGAAGTAGTAAATTTTGTGGTAGGTAACTGGTCCCATACAAATACAAGAGATTGTATCTGAAAACTTACTAAAGCATTAAAGGGCTAAGGACACAGTCAAGTGGTAGAGCACCTGCCTAACACTTGTGAAGCCTTGAGCTCAATTTCTAGTTACACACCCCCACCAAAAAAAAAAGCAAGAATATTAAAATAAGGATCTGTGGCAACCAATTAAAGAGGAAAGATAACTCCGTAGAAATTTAATTTATCCCACCTACTGAAAATACAGCAACCACAGGGACATTTATGGTTTCTCTGTTAGTCTTGTTTTTCAGGAGCAAGCATGGCAGTAAGACATTGCATTCTGTGTTTACATAATTTGTGTTTGTCTTCTATGGGAATATTACACAGGCAGGAGCCCAATTTTCACTCATCTTGTGACAAGCTTAAAAGGATTATGGACACTTCGTGCCTTTGGACGTCAGCCTTATTTTGAAACATTGTTCCATAAAGCTCTGAATTTACACACTGCCAACTGGTTCTTGTATCTGTCAACACTGCGCTGGTTCCAGATGAGAATAGAAATGATTTTTGTCCTCTTCTTCATTGTTGTTACTTTCACTTCCATTTTAACCACAGGTACTATAAGCTCATTAACTTCAAACAGTTAAATCAAAACTTTGTCAAGTACTAAATTGCTATTATAGATTAAAATGTTTAGATGTCTTCTTTAGGTAGATGTGTTTTGAAATCTGGGTTTACTGTTGAACAAATGGCTTCTTTGATTTAGGGCTATATCCAGCAGTACTGACTCTGCTTTAAAATCCCTTGGAGATGCAGAAGATGAGAATTCTGTAGTTAATAGAAAAAGAGATCTTTTCAAGCTGACATGGGTAAAAGATCATGGCATCAAATTTAATGCATTTCTTTATTCAAGAACTCACTGAGTAGGAGAAAACAAATAAGCATATACTTTCCTTTTTTAATTTCCAAGTAAATGTTATCTTTTCACTTTATCTAATATGAATTTGGCATGGAAAAAACTGTCATTGGGGAATAAATAAAAGTGTCATATTTTCCAATATAAAGATTCTAACGTTTAGGATCTTTTTTTGGGGGGGGGGGTCCGGTTGTGGGGCCTGAACTCTGGGCCTGGGCGCTGTCCTTTGGCTCTTCAGCTCAAGGCTAGCACTTTACCACCTGAGCCACAGCGCCACTTCCAGCTTTCTTTTTCTGCTCATGTGGTGCTGAGGAATCAAACCCAGGGCCTCATGCATGCAAGGCAAGCACTCTACAATTGAGCCACCTTCCCAGCCCCAATGTTTTAAGTTGTTTTTTTTTTGTTTTTTTGGGGGGGTTGTCTGGTCATAGGGCCTGAACTCTGGGCCTGGGCACTGTCCCTCAGCTCTTCAGCTCAAGGCTAGCACTCTACCACTTGAGCCACAGCACCACTTCCGGCTTTTTTCTTTTTGCTTATGTGGTGCTGAGGAATCAAACCCAGGGCCTCATGCATGCAAGGCAAGCACTCTACCACTGAGCCACCTTCCAAGCCCAATTTTTTTTTTTTTTTGGTCAGTCATAGGGCTTGAACTCTGGGCTTGGGCACTGTTCCTCAGCTCTTCAGCTCAAGGCGAGTGCTCTACCGCTTGGGCTACAGCACCACTTAGGATCTTTAGGTAAATAAAAATATGAGATTTTCCCATGATAAATGAAATAAAAATCAATATAGAGGAATTAATTTGAGAAGTTGAATGTTTTTAAATGTTTTTGTACATGTAAGAGACAGTAAGGAAAAGAGACAAATACAGAAGGAGAAAGAGATAGAGAAAAGCAGATACAGAGGAAGAGATTGAGAAAGTGACAGAGGCAAAGTAAACATTCAGAGTGAATGCCAGATCAATGCCAAATCCACAGGTGTGTTTTTAAAGACAGAATCCTGATCAACCCCGAAAAAAGACATCAGTAGAAGTTACAGGAAGGTCCTAGAACAATGTGGGCCCCTGGAGGGTCCACACAAGCACTGGACAATGAGGAGTTCATCTGGATACGGGACTTCCTTTCCCATTGCTTGGTCTGGTATTTGCTACTACTGAGATGTACAACGTAATATTAGAAGATACAAACAGGCAGTTTGCCCATTACCAATAATGCCTTCATTGATAAGGGACAACTGTTTGTTAATACTCAGTTTGATTTTAAAAATTGGCCAAATGCTTCCCGTGAAAAGGCATTATCACTTCTGGCAGATGCTGTAAGACAAAAATGGTTCAATTAAAATGTGCATTAAGTATGATATTTGCATAAAGTTGTCCATAGTAGAGAGAAATAAGTTTTGTTCACTAACTTTTTCTGTATGTAGGTGAAGGTGAAGGATCAATTGGCATTATTCTAACTTTAGCTATGAATATCATGAACACATTGCAATGGGCTGTAAACTCCAGCATTGATGTGGATAGTTTGGTAAGTCATCGTTATTTTTTTTAATTTTATAACAAATGTACACAATAAAAAGGGTGTAGGTAATAGCATCTGGAAGATCTGTAGAGCCATTACTCAGATGAAGGCACAAAATATCACAGATACATTGTACCTCTCACTAAGATCCTGTCTGGCCTTTCCTCCATTCAGCTTGCCACAATGAATTTCCAGTGCTACAGTGAACATTCTTGCATATATCTCTGTGCCCAAGATTTTTCTATCAAGTGCTAGGACTGGATTGCTGAGTTACAATATTCACCTAGTTCAAGTAGATAATGTGAACTTGCTCTCAAGTGTGTTGTAACAGCTTGTACTATTGCTGTCTCCACTGCAAGAGATGTAAGAATTCTTAGATCCCTGTCTCCTGCAATACTTCTTGTCACATTTTTCAATTTTGGCCATCTGATGCATGTGATTACTGAGACGACAAGTCATGACACATTTTTCTTGGCCACTTGTGCTTTTTTATGTTGTCACATCACAAGTCAACTAGACTTACCGTTATTTTTCTTAATGATTTGTAGGAATTTATGAATCCTAGATAAATTGTCAGATCTATACATTTTAAATATAGTCATTTAGTCAGTAGCTTTGCCTATAGTGTCTTTTTAAAATTATTATTAATTTACTGTTATTGTAGAGGTGATGTACAGAGGGATTACAATTACGCGAGTAGGTAACGAGTACATTTCCTTTTATACAATATCTTCTGTTACCTCTCTTTCTCCCGGTCTTTCCCTCTCATTTCCAACCACTAGTTGTATAGTTCACTTTCATCAGAGTCTAGTGAACTCCACTGCTACACTTTTTTACCCTTTTCCCTCCAGTGCTGCATCCCCCGCCCTGATGAAAAGAAACTATGAAGTTTAATGAAGTTAAATGTGTTGATGTTTTTCCTTTATGGCTGTGATTTTCATGTATTATTTAAGAAATCCTACTTACCTGTGAGCATAGCAGTGGCTCACACATGTGAGGATAACAGCTGTAGGCCAACTTAGGCAAAATGTTCTTGAGCTTCATCTCAACAGAATAGCTAGGTGTGGTGGTATGTGCCTGTTTGCCGAGCAACACGGAAAGTGTTAACTAGAGGACCACACCCCAGAATGGCCAAGGCATAAACAACAACAACAACAACAACAACAAATTATGCTTTTATCTTTGTATTTAATTGTTTCAGTTTCTATATTTGCTTATCCATCATAAAATCCTTGTGCATATCTCCTATTTTATTATCTAAAAGTGTCTCTTTAAAAAAATTTAGTCTTATTTATTTAAGAAGTTGTACAAAAGAGTTTCCATTCAAAAAGCAGTTTAGGAAAACAATGCATCTTGAACATTGTCAGCCCATTCATCATTCCCCCCATCCTTCCCAACTACCTCTTCTCTCAATTTTCTTAATTTTATAGGCTAGGCCTTACATTTTATGACTGTATTCTCCTCCTGTCTTCCTTTCTTCAGTCATTTCCACCCTCCTCATCCTTGACCCCACCCCTCACTTTCCAGTACCAGTTTGCTGGTATTTGTTAGACTGAGTCAGCCTTTCTGAGGAGTCACACTGTGTTCTCCCATGAATCTACCATATTTTAGATGATACATTTTATATACTTGCATATCACCCTAAAGTGTTTACTTAAATATTTGTAAATCAATTCTATCTTTCATATGTGAGAGAAAACATGCATCCTCTGTCTCTTTGAGTCTGACTTACTTTTAGCTTTACTGTTTTGCTTGGGTTATGCAATAGCTTCTACGTGTTGAAAATCTTTGTTCCATGCATTTCTATTCTGTGTGTCTGATCTCCACTGTTGCTTTAAATTCTTTCCAGTTTTTCACATGAACATCCTAGGATATTGACCTGTACTTTGACATTATATCTTTCATTATGTCACATTGAAGGACCTATGCAAGGACCTATGGTGTTAAAATACGGTCTGGAAAGTATCAATATTTGCATTTGATTTCATTTTGTAAAAAGTCAGGTTCTCCTGTGAGTTCCCATTTCCCTGCAAAACACAGGTAGTGACCTATCCTGGGTATTTGTGGGGCATTTATCATCATAGTACTGGCCCATGTGATGGCTAAAGTACACAGTGACATTTTTATTTTCACCCTCAATTACATGAACAGTAGAAAGGGAATAAGAGAATGCTTGCAAAATTTACCTTTGTGTCATGTTAACATCCGAGGTCATGTGACTTCTAAAGCAAAATCTCTCTGTGGTATCATTTTACTTTACTGAATTTTTATCTGCATGTAGACTAAGTGTTTAAAATGGAATAAACAAGATACACTGGTTGCCACACTCTAAGTTATTAAAGTGAACAGCTTCTCAGGAAAAAAAAAAAAGATCTTTTACAGTTCCAAAGAGTATTTTACTGACCAGCCTGGCCTAGTTCAAACACAAATGCAGAGTCAAATATTGTCAGACCCATGAGGTTTTAAAAATGGAAACGTGGTATTTCTTGTATTTCTCTGCTGTTTTGCTTATATCCAGGTAACTAGTTTTCTTTAGCTTTCAATTAATAAATGTACTATTTGGGTGATAGCATTTTAGTGTTACCTTGTTACTTTGTACTTATGACTAAATATCTCAAATACTGACACTCAAAATTACCTCTCTTTTATTGCTTTCCTAATAAATTCATTCTTCCCAAAGATAGCACTTTCCTGCTTCATAAGTAATCCTGTTGTTTAATTTCTTGCACTTTCATCCACAGACCTCATTATATACATGCTAGAAATAAATATATATGACCAAAGAGAATCCTCTTAACACTTATCAGCTATACCAGCCTGTGGGACATTCCACTCAAATGCCCTACCTGGGTCCTAACATCTAGTTGTTCCCTCTTGATGGGACCTTTCTAACCATCACAAAAATAAATGCCCTCCCATCATCTCCACCAACATTCCATGCTTCAACCTTTTCACAATTACTGAAGGAGTATATACCAGGAATGAATCCTGATGACCTTCAGCCTCATGTTTTGGCTCTTGACCTTCCTTAGTCTTCTAACAAGTCTTCTCTGAAAGATCTTTAAATATTGTTGGGATTACAGCCCTTTGTTATCTGCATTCTTTATAGCTATTGCTCTCTACCCCTATCCTTCAGACAGTATCTCTTGATGAATTATAGATTAATCTCTTTAATCTCTGATGCTCTTTCAATATCTGTCCAACTATCATCTTGACACCTCCATCGTTGTAAACCAGGGCTAGGATATTTTTTCCCCCAGACTTGCCATTGCAAAGCATGACTTACTGTACAATATCTCACTAACACACACTCAAGGAATGAGGGGGTTGGACATATTTTGAAAATGTCAAAAAGCTTCTACTGCACCTACTAATTTGTCCATAATATTAATTGAATAAACACACATGATCTAGAAAGGGTGTCAATGTGGTGTTTCAAATTTAACAATGCTAATCTATCTGGTGATTAATACACTTCTCATACACAGTTACTTCCTTTGAATGAGACAGTCAATAATTCATGCCCTTTAGGGACATGTCCACCACAGAGTGAACACAACTAATACTCCTGGTATGTGAATGTTACAGGACTTCTTCCTTAGTTTTTCAAGTGAAACCCCTGGTTTCACTAGATGACTGGCCTATTGTGTGCTCTTTAGGGGACCAGGAAGCCACCTGAGTGAGCAAGGACAGTAAACCAGCAAAAGTCCCATTTAGATTCCTGTTAGTGAAGCTCTAGAAGATTTTTGCATCATTGCTGCAATCTGAGAAGAGTTTGCTGTCAATAGAAACTCCCTCTGTTTCTTCTTTGTTCTTTCATTGCCTGTGTTTATTTTGGGTTCCAGTAAAGATCAACTGACTGATTGTACAATAATCAACACAAAATCTAGGGGAGGGGTGGGGGAGAAATCTGGCCTTTCTTCATTGCTCATAATGCTTCATTTTATTAATAGCAGTTATATAAATTTGAGAGAAGTCATTTCTCCTATTTTTCCTTTGCCTCCTTTTAGTGGTCTCTTGATGGTATTTTTGTTGTTCTGTTTTAATGAGTGTTTGTAGCATATTTACCTCTTGTGATCTCTGTCTCAAGATTTCTTTCTGTCCAACCATCTTTTTCTTGAAAGGTGGCTGTGGTGGAGAGAACCTTGCATCTCATTCTGCATACTCCCTACCTACTCCCACACGGAAACACATCCCATTAGGCAAGCTATAGTCTTATATCACATTTTTAATATATATAGAGAGTGAAAGAATTAAGTTAAAAATTTACTAGGCTACCTACCAGCTCCAGTGTTCTCGCTTTTGAGCCCTTCCTGTATGAAAGACTTCAACTCTTGCTTAGTAACTGGTAGGCATTATTCCAGATCCTTATAGAAAATACATACCTGCCTTATCTGTGAATGCAGTTGCTAGACTGATCAAACAACCTGAATCAATCTGCTACTAGGGCCAAAAAGGAAAAAAAATAACATCGTTATGATGTTCTGAAGTCTTGAGTTAGTACAAGAGACTTATGAGAAACCCGAAGAGAAAAGAAGCATTTTGAGACTGGAAAAATGACTGTGGCTTTGTACCTGTCACCTTAACTTTCAATTTTCTCATTTGCTTAATGAAAATAAAGGAATAGATCACAGGTTAGATTACCTGGCATCACATGAAAAGTGTATATAAAAATTGAATTTTACTGGTTTCTCATGTCTATAATCCTAGCTCATCATGAGGTCTGAGAACCCCTATTGAGAACCAATTACAAGCAGATATTGCTTACATTGAACAGCACTAACCATGAGAAAAAATAGCAAGTGAGCATTCAAAAACCCCTAAATTTAAACCTCAAGAAAGTTTCTCTTTCTCTCTCA